TAACTTTAACGTAACATAAATGTCATAACTTTAATTAATAAATTTTTTTATCAAATTTGCGACATTGGTGTTTGGAATTTTAAAGCAGACGATATTTTATTCCGAGTTTAAACAGTTTCGAAGTTATATTTACATTAAAAATTTATTTGAAAGTCATGGTTTGGGAATTTGTTATACGTTTTAGATCTCTTTCTCCGACTTATTCTTCGGTATGTTAAAAAAAAAAAAAAAAAAAAATATTAAATATGGTTTTTCAGTAAGTGACCACGTAAAATAATTAATAATTTTTTAATTTTTCAGGTTCGAAGACTTCATTCTTCTAAGGCTCTTTTAGCAGCTGCTAGAGAAGAAGTTAAGGAAAAATCACCTCAATACAAAACATTTTCTATTTACAGATGGGATCCAGATGCTGTCAATGAAAAACCAAGGATGCAAAGTTATGAAGTTGACTTAAATAGGTATGTTGTGTTGTAAAAAGTTTCACCCATATTTTAAAAATGATGAACTTGGCATTTCTATTAATTTTATCCACTTAATATATATTATAAACTCAAAAAGGTAGAATTAAAAATGTTTGGTTTTTCAGTTGTGGTCCTATGGTTTTGGATGCTCTTATAAAAATTAAAAACGAAATAGATCCTACGCTTACTTTTCGAAGGTCTTGCAGAGAAGGAATATGTGGATCATGCGCCATGAATATCGGAGGAGTAAACACTTTGGCATGCATTAGTAAAATTTCCCAGTCTGGAACGACTAAAATTTATCCTTTGCCTCACATGTATGTTGTTAAAGATCTTGTACCTGATATGACTAACTTTTACAATCAGTATAAATCAATTCAACCATGGCTTCAGAGAAAGAATGAAGCAGAACCTGGAACGGAACAGTATTTACAAAGTGTGAAAGACAGAGATGTATTGGTAAGCATTTTCCCTTTATTTTTTACATGAAAATTAAAACAAAAAAGTAACTTTCATTTTTATTTTTGAAAATTTTATTAATTTAATCAGGATGGTTTATATGAATGCATTTTGTGCGCTTGCTGTTCAACATCTTGTCCTTCTTATTGGTGGAACGGAGATAAATATCTTGGACCGGCTGCTTTAATGCAAGCTTACAGATGGATAATCGATTCTAGAGATGACAATACTAAGGAAAGGCTTAGTAATCTTAAGGATCCATTTTCAGTTTTTAGATGTCACACAATCATGAATTGCACAAAAACTTGTCCAAAGGTATGCATTTCTTATACAAAATCAACTAATCCAAGGATTATTACTTAACTTTAAAAATTTTTTTTTTTTGTTTTTTTTATATTTAGAGTTTAAATCCTGGAAAAGCGATAGCTGAACTTAAGAAATTACTCGGAGGTTTGGCATCTAAGCCGACTCCAGATCTTCAACCGGATGCATTAATTAAAAACAAATAGAAACCACATTATTGAAATGTTAGCACCAATCAAATATATATATACATATGTATTTAAAGTAATTTTCAGTCGAAAAACAAAATAAATTTATTACAACAACCGGAGAAAACAAACTCTGTAACAAAGGTTAGAGTTTTTTTTTTTTTTTTTTTTTTTTTTAAACACAATTTTTAATTTATTTATTATTAATATTTAATGACAGTTTAAAAAAAAAAAAGCAAATTTATTTTGTAACAAAGATTTAATGTTTAAATGAAAAACGGTATAATTTATTAAAATTATTATTATTATTATTATTTTTTATTTTTTTATTTTTTATATCCTTAAAATATTTTATTTAAAAAAAAAAAATTTATCACAATTTTATTTTTTGTAATAAATTATATATATATATAGTTTCTTCAACAGTTTCGAATAAAATAAATTAATTAATAAATATTAAATTTTAAATTTTATTTGGCACACACTTAACGGCACAGAAGCATGAAATTACATCTAATGATAAATAATAATAATAATAATTTTTTTTTTCCGGGGGGAGAGGGGTGGGAGAAACGATTACGTCATAATTATTATTATTATTAAACCTATGTGATAATTTTTTTATAATTTCATTTAATTAAATGATATATATATTATTAACACGATCAAATTTTTATGATATTATCATTATTATTATTACTTATTTGTATAATTTTTGTTAATACGTCAGTCTTTATATAATTTTTACCGGGAAATGAAATGTTACCAACATTTGAAAATTAATTTAATTATATATATATCCGGTAATGAAAAATTAATTTTCCTATATTTAAATACGTTTTAATTAAATATTTTCTTTTATAAATTTTATATTTGCAAAATAGATGAATAGATGAATAGATAGATAGATAGATAGATAATTTATTCGACTACATAAAATTTATTTAAAGAAAGGCAATTAAATGATTTTTTAAAAGCTATAATTAATTTTTTTTTTTTTGTTGTAAACATGAGCAATGGTATCATCGTCAATTTTTTTTTTTTTTGATAATAATTGATAAGAGAATGCACGCACGTGTGATTTATTTATTTATAAATTTTTTTTTTGGAAAAATCATATCATTAATCATTTTAAAATGGCGATCGATGATGATGATGATGATGATGAACAAAACACCTCACGCCCATTTAAATAAATAAAAAAATAAAAGAATGCATATGAGTGTGGTAGAAAGTGAATAATTTGTCGACGATGCTGAACTTTTAAGAGTTTTTGTTTTTATTTCCGGTGTAAAATCTCCAACACCGGCTTTATTAACGGAAGTAACTCTTATAACGTATTCGGTATTCGGTTTTAAATTTGATATAACGTACGGTTTATCTGTAAATAGAAAAAAAATGGATACAAAATTATTATGCGATGATAAAGTTAAGTTTCTCTCACACCAAAAATTACCTTTCGGTAGAAAAACTATTCTTGCAACTTCCCATTCTCTTCCTTTTTGTCTTTCTACCTGTTCCATAAGTTGAACTCTATATCCGATAACTTCTTCTTCTTTTGCAGGTGGCGGATGTATTTCCAATTGTAAACTATTATAAGTCATAGAATGAATTTTCGTCTTTTTCGGAGGTTCGGGTTTGGGTAATTTTTTAACATTAAATATTATGTCGGTTCCTCCTTTTTGATTTTCGGCCGTACAAACGTAGGTTTCGAACCTGGTATCGTTGATGTAATTAATTTGTAATATGGATTTATTTTTTTCAACGTTGATTATCGTCACGTTTTCCTCCTCGCCGGAAAATATCGATTCATTTCTATACCATGTAAAATTCGCTTGAGGATTCGAACTCACTTCGCACGTTAAATTAATTTTACCACCTACGTAACCGTAGATATCGTTTATCACGGGTACCAACGGTTTCGGCGAATCTAAAAAAAAAAATTACGTTAAACGTGGGGATCCGTGGTAACTCATTTTTACAAAAAAAAAAACTTACGTAAAACCATAACGTGGATTTTTTTTTGTGCTATGTTACTCGTTATGTTATTAACGGCTGTGGCTCTACAAATGAAAGATCTCGTTTCATCTTTAACGGTTAAATTTTTAACTATTAAACCATCGGCTATGGGTTCGTATTGTTCGTATTGTTCGGCATGTAAACCATCTACGAACCATGACAGAATTGGTTGAGGATCACCTTCTGCTTCGCATCTTATAACAACTTGTTCGTGTTCCCAAAAACTTTGTACGATTGGAGTATCTCTAAAAGTTATGGGTCCTGAAATTTTATTAGAGTTATCGAACAAACGGGAAATTTATTAAAAAAAAAAAGGGGGGGTGGATAAAATCCTTACTGAACGTTCTGAGTAAAAATGTTACGGAATGGGAGACGTTTTCTATCGTTCCATTACATGTATAATTTCCAGCATCACTTGATTGAATGGATGATATAAAAAGTGCCGCTTCAGATGATGATTTTCCATCTGATGATGTTCTTTCAACGTGAACCCTAAATAAATAAAAAAGGAAAATTTTTATTGGGAAAAAATCGACGAATTTCCACAAATCTCTGGGAAAAAAAAAAAAATTTAATTTTCTACCTATTGAAAAAATCGCTTATGTTGACTCCATTTTTATACCACCAAACGTTTGATGCATTGATGTGAAAGCAATTTATAAAAAAACTTTCGTTTACTTGTTTAACAAATTCCGTTCCCTCGGGATTTAGGTTCAATAGGGAGCTGCTTTGACATTGTTCACCTGGTCAAAAACAAAAAAAAGTTTAAAAAACGTTTGAGATTTTAACCGTCGGAAAATTAGAAAAAAATTTTTTTTTTTTAAATTATTTATGATTCGATAAATGATGATAATAATAATTTCCGGTTTGATAATTTTTTTTTTCCGATTCATAACATGACAAAAAAATTATTCGATTCGACCAAATTGAATGAAAAATAAATTTTACCACCCGAAGGTTTAGTAAAATGAAAAGAAAAAAAAAAATTTTTTTTAAGAGAGTGTCTCCCCACTCCCCACTCCCTCCCACTTCTATCTTTTTTTACAAGAGGGTGAAAACGTTTTTAGATAAGTTAAAAAAAAAAAAAAACTGTCAGAGGCAGACTGATTTAGAAAAAGAAAGAAAGAGAGAGAGAGAGAAAAAGAAATTATAATGAAAAGAAATTTATTTTTAAACTTTCATAACTTTCATAACTCTTCCTTTGTGAGTTAGATTTTGGTTGAACGTATAAAAAAAAAAATTTTCCCTTTTCTCACCCCCCTGCCTCCCCTTCTCTCTCCGCGAAATTTTTTTTTTTTTTGTTTTCTCCGGTCGAAAATGATAATAAAAAAATTTACGTTGGGTTTTAAAAAGACATTTCCGTTGATTTTTTTTTTTTTGTAAAAATGGCACACATATATATCTATTCTCTTCCTTTTTTTTTACCCCCCCCCCTCCCCCTTTTTTCGAAATAAAAAAATACAATGGTTTTGACCGAAATGTGAAATGTGTGTCGCGTTATAAAACAACAACAACAACAACAATTCTATTCTTTAAAAGTTTATAAATAATAAAAAAAACTTATTTTGACCTTAAAAAAAAAACTATAATCCCTTTTTATAAGTGATATTAATCATTAATATCAATTCCACTATAAAAATAATAATAATAATAATGATAACGTCGATATTATTATTATTTTTTTCTCGAGAGGTTACAAAAAGGTTGTTTTCCAATAAAATAAAAGAACACTAAGCCAAAAAAAAAAAAGGAAAAAAGAAAAGAATTGAATAAAAAGTTGTTTTAGACGCCCGACTGACTGGAACCTTTATAAAAGAGGAAAAATTGTTCAGAATTTTCTCATCATCATCATCATCATCATCATCCCTATGTGTATACACATAAAGATTCATCTCGAATGGTTATTTTGTTTGTTGGAAAATTTTTTTTTTTCCGAGAAAGAGAAAATGGAATCGCGTTCACAAATCCGTGAACGTATT